CCAAAAGAACCTATGCACTCCAATGTTCATAGCAGCACAATGTACAATAGCCAAGAGCTGGAAGCAACCTAGGTGCCCATTGGTAAATGAATGGAGCCAAAAACTGTGGTACATATACACAATGGAATTCTATGCAGCAGAAAGAAAGAAGGGGCTCCTACCCTTTGCAACAGCATGGATAGAACTGGAAAGCATTATGCTGAGTGAAATAAGACAGGAGGTACAAGAAAGATACCATATGACCTCACCTTTAACAGGAACCTAAACAACAAAACAAACAAGCAAGCAAATTATAACCAAAGACACTGAAATAGAGAACTGGCTGACAGTGTCCAGAGGGGGGAGGGGAGTGAATTTTAGGGGAAAAGGGGAAGGGTTTACAGGAACAGGTATAAAGTACACATAGACAAAAACTAAGTGGGTGGAATTGGAAGGGAGGTGGGGAGCACTGGGGGGGGTGGGCTGGGATGGGAGTAAAAGACAGAAAACTGTACTTGAACAAGAATTAAAATTTAAAAAAAGAAAAAACATAAACTCAAGATGTATAAAGGTCTTAAATATAGGCAATACCATAAAAGTCCTAGAGGACAACATAGGCAGGAAAATCTTAGATATTCCACACAGCAATATTTTCACTGATATGTCCCCTAGATTAAGGGACATAAATAAAAGAATAAACAAATAGGACCCCATCAAAATAAAAACCTTCTGCACTACTAAAGAAAACATTAGCAAAATAAAAATGGAACCAACTGTATGGGAAAATACATTTGCAGATGTTACCCAGGCAAGGGTTTGATCTTCAAAATATATAAAGAACTCACAGGACTCTACTCCAGGAAGACAAAAAAAAAACAATTAAAAAATGCACAAAGGACACTTTTCCAAAAAAGACATACGGAGGTCTCAGAGACATATAAAAGATTGCTCAGCATCACTAGTCATCAGAGAGATGCAAATTAAAACCACAATGAGATGTCATTTCACACTGGTCAGAATGGCCATGGTGAACAAATCAAGAAACAACAAGTGCTGGTGAGGTCATGAAGAAAAGAGAACCCTAGAACACTGTCGGTGGGAATGCAGACTGGTGTAACCACTGTGGAACACAGTATGGAATTTCCTAAAAAAAAACCAAAAATGGAACTGCTTTTAACCTGGCAAATCCTTGCTGGGACTATACCCTAAAAATCCTGAAACACCAATTCGTTAATAGAACCTATGCACCCCAATGTTCATAGCAGCATAATTTACAATAGCCAAGTGCTGGAAGCAACTTAAGTGCTTATCAGTAAATGAGTGGATCAAAAAACTGTGATACATTTACACAACGAATACTATGCAGCAGAAAGAAAGAAGAAACTCCAGCCCTTTGTGACAGCATAAATGGAACTGGAGAGCATTATGCTAAGTGAAATAAGCCAGGTTGTAAGGGACAAATACCATGTAATCTCACCTTTAAATAGAAACAAATCAACAAAACAAACAAGCAAGCAAAATATAACAAGAGACATTGAAATTATGAACAATCTGACAGTGACCAGAGGGGAGGTGGGAGGGGATAATGAGGGGGATGGTGGTAAGGGTATTCAGGAACAACTATAAGGGATACATGGACAAAAAAAGGTGGGGTGGAAGCAGGGGAGGGAGGCAGAGATGGCTGGGGTGGGGGGGTGGTAAATGCAGATGACTGTACTTGAACACAATAATATTTTTTTTAAAGTTTCTCACTATATAAATTGCTTTGTTCATTTATTTAAAATCTGAACAGAAAAGTAAAAAGCATAATTATACTCTGGAGCTCAAAACTCCTTTTTCTTAAGAGAACTTGTTTTTAGTTTTTTTTTTCAGCTTACTACTTTTATAGCATTCCTACTTTAGTTTTGCTCTAAAACATGAATTTTATCATCTGCATTTCAGATGATCTGTTAAAGGTCAAGTCTCTATATAGTGCAAAGATCATAAGTCTAAGCTAACCTATTATTTTATCTTCTTTTATTTTCATAAAAGAGGGAACATAATCCACAAACAGTCAAAAGAAAGCAGGTCAACCTCAAAAAGCATATAAAGTATCTTATTCATAATTATAGTCTTTGGAAAACCAATTTGAAAATATTCTCATATCCATATATATATCATATATATATATACACATGATTATTTATATATTCTATATCCATACTAAATTAAATAATCCCATTTTTAAGAAGTATCATTGTTTTGAACTTTTCATGAACAAAATAACATGCTCTAGGAAAAATTTCCTATACTCTATCTATCAGACATTATAATTATGAAAAACTGGAAATGTAACTATCAATGACAGAATCATGTCTATATAACTCAGGCTATATTTGTGGAGTATAGTATTCTTAGATAGCCATTTATAATTTTCTAAGTAACAAAACTATATACATACCTGAAAGTGTTTATGATAAATATTAAATGAAAAACATTAAAAAATTGTACAATATTATCACTACAACTACTCAAAATATGTAGTCTTAAAAAGGCTACAACAAATACATTAATATTACAGTCATTGGGTTATCTTGCTAGGATGATGGTTTTTATTCTCTTCTCTTTATTCTCATCTCTGTAATTTCTATCATGTCCAGTTATTTTAAAATTCAAAGGATAAGTTAAATATTAAGTGTTTGTACACAAAGAGTTTTAAAGGTGCAAAAACTCCTTGCACAAGTCCTTGAGACAGGTAAGAATCATATAACGTGACAGTCAAACTCTAAAATGCTACAAATTTTGTTAATTTAATTATTTTTCAAGTACAGTTTTCTGCCTTTTACTCCCTTCCCAGCCTACCCCCCCCCCCCGTGCTCCCCACCTCCCTCCCATTTCCACCCCCCTTAGCTGTTGTCCATGTGTCCTTTATACTAGCTCCTCTAAATCCCTCCCCTTTTTCCCCTGAAATTCCCTCCCCTCTCCCCTCTGGTCACTGTCCTGTCCCGTTCTCCATTTCATTGTCTTTGTTTTTATTTTGCTTGCTTGTTTGTTTTATTGTTTAGCTTCCTGTTAAAGGTGAGGTCATCTGGTATTTGTCCCTCAACACCTGGAGGTGTAATTCATAACTTCTTTAAATTAAATGCCATAGTTTCCAAACCAAAACTGGAAAATAAGACATCTCACTGTATATCCACTTAATTACAGATTTGTCTTTTCTAGTAGATTCTTAGCATATGGGTTTATCTGTTTCTTTACTGAATCCTCAGCTCCTACCTAAGTGCCTGGTTTACAATTAGAAGATAATGCTGTGGGTAGATGTGATTTTTTCCTTCACAAACTCTAAATCCACATGTGACTCTTTTCCATTGGTATAAACTTACATGGCCATAAAGTTTCTGAAGTTATCTCATCATTGATAAATGATTAAAAATGTACATTTGTGCCCCAGTGTGCACACACACAAACACACATCAAAAAATGTATGCAGAAAAGAGAGGCAAATGGAAAACATTTCAGAGAAATGCCATACCCAAAGAGGAAGAAAATGCTACTCAAAACATCAGCTCTCTAATCTTCAAGGAAATGATACTATATTTAATAGGTCTTTTAAAAGTATATTTTCCTCTATTGCAAATCGTATCCAAGGTTTCAACTGTATTATCACCAGCTCACAAGAAATGACTTATCTTCAACTTAGATAAGAGCTTCTAGTATAGTCCTTATCACCATCAACACATCTATTCTCCAAGATGTCAGGTCTTCTATGAACACTTAAGAGGGTCCCATGAGCCTGTTCGTTTGAACATTTTTTTCCCAAGCCTGATTTTTTTTCCTACACTCTGCTTGGTGTTAGCCATAGCTGGCTCAAAATACACTACAGAAGAATGAAAAAATCCAACACAGAAATATCCACAGAATGAAAGCCAACCAGTGAGGACACCAATCATTGCTGTAGAGATTTGAAAAGTCATGATATTTATTTAGAACTGTTAAAACTTAATCTCTGAATGTAAAAAGCCACTCTTGTTGTATGCCTGCCTCAAATATATTGGCCATAACCCACCTTCTCCTCCTCTTTTTCATTTCAAATCAACTTACAGTTGTATCTTTGAAAATATGAATGATGAATTAAAAAAATAGACACCTGTTAATTTCCGATCCCTACTAAGGTCTCCTCCAACTTTGGTCTTCTTATACACAACAGTCACTGGTACCCACCTTCCTTTTTACAAACCAAGGAAATCCGGACCCACTGATGACTACACACACACAAGATTAGATTATGGCCCAGAGGCCTGAATACATAAATACATTCCCTAAAAAAATTATGCCTGAAAATAGAAGTTATCCTGTGATATCTCAAGAATTTTTCAGGATCTGAGTTCAGAGTTTTAACCTATGCCGAAAGAGGAAAATTCGAGTCAGAGGGATAACCTCCCTATTATTCAGGATCCTGGTCCCGCCATGAGATTCGAGCCTGGAGATCCACACCAGTTTCTTAAGGGCTCAATGACAAAACAGTGTGGCCTTGGTAGGTCACTGTTTTGCTTGCTGTGTGGCCACCCTAATGATAGTTGCTCAGGCAGGGCAATGATTAAAATGACTGATATGAAACGTAGAGCGTTCGGCCGGCGGATGGGGGTGGGGTAGGCAAGGCCCTGTCCCTGTCCCTGTCTCCGTCCCTTTCTGAAACCTGCTGGAGCAGTGTCGGCCCCCAACACGACACGTTCTTCCTCTGGTACGGAGGGATTCAAGAATCCGCCACATCCCCAGCCACCTGCCTCCCTGATGTTCCGCGGGGCAGGCCGGGGACTGGCGGCCTCAGGCTTCCATTGCCTACCCTTGGGCTTCGGAAGGCGGGGAAGTTGTATCTGGTTACAGTGACAGGGAAGCGAATCTCGGCTGCCTGCGCCCCTACACACGGAACGTGGGGCTGCTCCTTCCGCCCTCGGCGCCGGACTCTAGGGCCCACCCTTCCCCACCCGCCTGGGCCCGGCCCGGGAGAGGGGGCACCCGGGCTTCAAGAGACCGTGACAAACCTGTAACCCTGGTGCTCAGAGTGGTCATGGTGCCGCGGGTGAGGCGGCGGGTGGCAGGGCTTCAAGCCCACCGAGCAGGGACACGGCCCCTCACCTCCCGCGGCTTCCTCGGCGCGCGCCACCCGCGAGTGCTGCGCCTCAGCGCTGGTCTGGCTGGCGCGCGCTACTGCCTCCGGGGTGGCGGGGCCTGCGAGCAACCAAGGTAGGGGGCTAAGGCCTTTTCTTTCTTTCTTTCTTTCTTTTTTAATATTAAATTTTATTTAGTTACTTTTCAAGTACATTTTTTTTCATCTATTTCTCCCATCCCACCCACCCCCCCGCCCGGTCTCCCCCCTCCCTCCCCCCCCCCCCCAGTCCTCATCTCTGTGTCTTTCATACTTGTTCCTCAAAATCCCTCCCCCTTTTTCCTCTTAAGTTCCCTTCCCTCTCCCCTCTGGTCGCTGCCCACTTGTTCTCTATTTCAGTGTCTTTGTTTTTATTCTGTTTGCTTGTTTGTTTTGTTGTTTAGCTTCCTGTCAAAGGTGAGATCATATGGTATTTGTCCTTCAATGCCTGGCCTATTTCACTCAGCATAATGCTTTCCAGTTCCATCCATGTTGTTGCAAAGGGTAGTAGCTCCTTCTTTCTCTCTGCTGCATAGAATTCCATTGTGCAACCTAGGTGCCCATCAGTAAACGAATGGATCTTTCTTTCTTTTTTAATCTGACTTTGCCGCAGAGATTGCCTCAGGCTGAAAGAAGGAAATGGCCAAGAAGGCTCCGCTGCAGTTGGTGGGGAGCAAAAGAGTCTGTGCTAGCAGGTTTCTTTGCTCTGGCTGCCACTGGCCGTCTCACAGCAACAGCTGGGCTCTCCTCTGCCAGCTCCTCTCGTGGTCTCTGTCGTGCTCACGTGCTCACGGAGCAGGGCCATATGCACTCCAGACTGACACACCTGTGGATGCGTTGCGTGCGTGTGTGGAGTCCTGTATCACTGGACACAGTATTCGAGGATGCTGACTATTTCACCCTTGAGTGTGAAAGGAGTGTGACACTTAGGTTTTCTAAACGTGTTAATATTTTTCCTTAAAATTCAAGTATTTTGTTAGGTGGATGAAGCTGGATGTCCAATAAAAAATAGTTACCTCCATGCATTGTGAGTTTAGCGGGACAAGAAGCTGCATCTAATGTTTCTTGGCTCCTAGCAGAACAGGTTTAGGGAGATACTGGGGTCTTGAGCACCATGCACAGGCCCAGGAGACATCATCATCTCTTTTGCACTCCCTGGAAAGTTTACTCTGGGGCTGGCATTTGGCTTATAGTCAGATATTAAACCCACTAAGAAACAACTGACGATGATTTAGACATCACACACACACAGGGACATAGTTAGAGAGAAAGAGATAAAACTTAATGAAGTTCCCTCTTGAACAAAAATCCAAACTCCTGAAGAACAGTTCCTTATCACAAAATGATACAGCCGAAGAGATGGAAGTAAAGTCAAACACACACACACACATTTTAAGATATATATTCTTAAATGGATTGTATTCTCTGGTAATGTATATTTAAAGTTACCACCTAAAAACTCTATTCACAATCCATTCACTTCAGGACAATATTTGAGCTATTTTATTGACATATTAGCATTTTTTATAATTTAAAGAAAATGTTTAAATAATCAGCATTTCATAAAATACACGTGAATAACTTTTTTCAAGTTTCCAAAGGTTTCAGAAAGACCAACTATATAACAAGCTAAGTTTTAAATAAAAGATAAAATAAATCATATGTGAAACTATTTAAATAATAAAAAATAGAATACAATTTAAATGGTACATCTATAAACAATCTGACATCTATTAACTAATTTATTTCATCATCTTAAGTCTGCCTTCAATCATTTGATCTAAATGCTAGTTTACTTGAACTTGTGTCTTAAAAATATATAGCTGTGTATCATTCTTTGGAATTGTCAGTGAGAAAGTTATATTAATGAAATAATTAAAGCCAAGATATTTATAAATGTTTGAAAGAAGTGATAAAGGCAGGAATGTTCCCAGTCTCAGCACCACTCCTAACTAATCAGGCATTTCATACCCTTCTCTACCCACTGTTGAAGTACCTTTATATGAGTATCTGTAATTCAGGTGTAGGAACCAAACAATCTCATGCATAGTGGAGAAAGTCATGGGAAATTCATGGGCTTCAGTGAAGCAGCCATGGAGAAGCTCAGTACATCCATCCTAGAATCTGTAGCAACTTACTGTGTACAGAAGTAGACAATCGCCTTAAAAGGAAAGTGCTTATGTCCCAAATATCATTCAACTCCTTCTACTTGCTCTTTATTCTTCTATTTTCTTATCAGTAAAACTAGGGAGGATGGACAAGCATCTTTTCCAGGTCCAATGGGATCTACTAACTATTCTTATTGATGTAATGTAATGAAAGTGAATTGCTGCCCTGTGTGTACAATATAATCCAGAGGTGTATTTTGAAGTATTTTTGACAAATCAAGACCAACTACTGACATTTGAAAACCATGAGATTTTTAGTTTAATATGAAAAATAAAAATATCTGGTGAAGTTAGATTTGCATTTCTATGTAACAAAATAACTAAAGGCATCCTGTGTCTCCCTTCGGTGTATTTTTCCCTTTTGCCCACCCCAGCCCACTTCAATACCCAGCTCCAGAAAGCATTTGAAAATTTAGCCTCTACTGTTAAATATGTATTTAACAATATGGGGAAGGAGCACTGTCAAACAGAGAGAAAGAGTCAAATATAAGAAATCTTACAATACAGAGAGTGAAGCCAGGCTGATCTACAAGGACAATAAATTGTAAATTAGAGAATCTTGTGTTCATAGTTTGCTAAAGTGCTGTGGAACTGAGGTAACTATGAAATGAGATTTAATAAAAAATTGAATGAAATGAGATATTTGTTTCATACTAACTCATTGGTTCCTAATGTTTATTTCTACCTAAAATTAGGGTTTCAATTGACCCATAGTGAGTAGCTGAGAACACAATAACAATACTAAAAAAGTGAATTTAGAATCCATGGGGGAAATGCCATGTGCTCTTTGGAAATATAAAACCCAATTTGACTCCAGAAAAATTCTGTTAGATTAGACTTATAGATAGATTACACCGAGGTAACTACTTAAGAGGTTCCAATTTTTTAAAGATGCTTTTAAAGATTGATTTTAATCTGTATACATTTGCTAAATTGTGAGATTTTGAGGCTCACATTTGATCCACTTTCCATCAAATATGGATATAATTGAATTTCCTCTGTTAGAGACACTTGAAGAAGGGAAAAAACAAAGGTCCAGAAGACCTACTTAAAAAAGATAAACAGGCCAACTAGGAGATATTCACTGCTTGCATGGATTAGCACAAACAGAACTCAGTCTCTGAAGAATAGAGGCATTTTGATGATAGATGGCCTGGGAAAGTTTAACAGTTTGTTTCTTACACCTCCTAGAGGAAATGTGACATTGAGTGTTTCCAGGATGTCTTTGTCTTCTTATAAATAGGCTTTCCAGGCAACCACAAAGCATTCATTCATGATTTAAATGTTACAAGGTTTGGGAAGGCACCTTACATCTTACGGTTTCCTCAAGGTAATGTTTCCAAACTTTCCTGATAATAAGGATCACCTGGGTGATCTTAAATATTTCCCTGAAGATTCTGATTAAGCATCTCTGGAGTGAGACATGCAACTATGAAGAATCTCTCTTAATAAACAGTTCCAGTGGTTGGTACCTATTCACAAACATTTCTTTCCTAATAGACAGAGTGGATTTGCCTGCTCTCTTTCCTCTCCAACAAGTACCATGCATCCCTATCATCATGTAAACCCTGGAGAAGCTCAGGAATCTCAGTAGACCCAGGACTTATGTTGTAGCTATAAGATATGAAGTACTAAAAATATGTGAACGCAACTAGGTGGTAAAAGACCACGTGCTGAGTCAGATTTGAGGTCTTTGCAAGGTTGTCATCTGGCCAGTTAATGTTTCAAGTAGTTCCTATTTGCATTTAAATAAGTCATAGATAGGAGATAGGCTTAGCATATCCTTCAACAGCAACTAATAAAAAGATGATACACACCCTAAACAAAAGTTATGAATGTTAAAACTGGCAGAAATATACTGAGGCAAGAAAAGCCATTGATTTCTCATATGGAAAAATAAACTGCCTAATGATCTGGGAAGGATTCCAGAGGACAAACTTGACATGGAAAATTATGTGGTATACAAGTAAGTGTAGCATTCCCACTATCCATACTTTATAGATTAATTTTAAAAAGTCTTAGTTCACCATTCTGTCTACTTGAGATTATATTTTCAGAGGAAGCTAGGTATAAGAAAAAAAGGAAGGCTGTGAAATCAGGAATGAACTATAATATCAATTAAGAACTCATGCTGAGAGCAAAACAGTTCTCTTTGTACAGCAGGTGAGCATATGGCCCAAAGTAACTGGTGGACACTGAAAACAAAGATCATGTTTCAAGAGAATTAATCAGTAATCAAGCAATACATGTTTTGACTATTCAATAATGAAAGCTCCTCTCAGATATCAGTATGTATTTGAGTTCTGAAAAAATAATCTTGTAGATTTCATTTATTATATAAAATGTCTCAATAAGCTTATAATAACTAAGAGCTGAGATCCCTTCAAGATTAATGGAATGGGGCATTTTACAAGGCAATCCATGCAAAAGTGCTAGCTGAGGGGAAAAGTGCTCTAGAATGGGTAACAGATAAAATGTCTGATGAGTATCAGTTATTAACTTGAGGCAGGTAATAGCAATCAATGGGTATTATTATTCATATCATGAATTCTCCTCTTGTAAATTGCCCAGAAATTGGGACCAACCAGAATCTTGTTTCTGGGTGGAAAAAAACAATGGGAGAAACAAGTAGATCTCAGTAGCACTGAGAAGGGGTGGACAGTGTTGGTTCCTATTGATGCCACATCCAGAGGCTCTTTACCAGGCCAGGCTATCCATTCTACCAACTGCTGTTAGGATCAGTGCTAACTTTTCATAACTGTCCCCTTTTTCAGAAAATGACTCTCTTTTGAATGGGAGATGCCTCACCCTGGTAGATACAACCCAATCTCCAGCAAGGGGAAGGGGGCAATCTGAAACCAATGAGAAATAGACAAGCTGGTATTTCTGCATAAAGGTGAGCCAACTCTAGTATAGTTCATCTCTAGAGCTCTCAGTGGGACCAAGCTGATGCTAGACTCTAAATGCATTCCTCCTTGGCTGTTTCTCCTATTCTTTCCCACTACCTTCACTCTTTTTATCCTAAAAGTCTCCCAGAGTCCTTGTCCCAGACCCTGCTTCTGGAGAGTTGATCTAATATAACTTTCTATTTTGCATGCTATTGTAAAAAGGCGAAATATTTATATGATCTGAAGAGAAACCAGAGTATGCATGCTATTGTAATAGTACTTATTAATTTCATTTTCATATTAGTCATCTCTGCATCCAGAAACCTTCGAAATTTTAGTCATGATGTTACTGTAGATAGTTAGTTAGTTGTTTATAAAGAGAACAGAGTGAATTGGACATTGAGTTTAATAAACTGGGAAGCATAATTCTTCTTGGTTAGCCAGAAAGCCATAGTATCTACAGACTCATTCACACAGTCCAGGGGACTGCTGCCAAGGAGAAAATCTCTCCAGGAACACTGTCAACCCTCCAGTACCAGATTGTTGGGGGTCTCAGAGGGAGGTAATTGACCATAGAGACCTGTCAGTATAACTAGGGGTGAGCCCATCAAAAGCACATGAAAGTTGGGAAGTTGATTGGTTATTTTTTAAAAGCTCCTGGTTATAACACCAGGGAAACAAGGAACTTTCTTTTGTTTAGTGACACACACTCACCCCATTTGTTCATGCTTTCTCTCAGCTAGGAACTTGCACTCACCAGTTTGGGTGCTCTTTCTCTTATCCAGGAATATACACAACCATGTGAGTCTAGCAGCCATGTGCACCTGCAACAGATTGTGTGGGCTCCCGAGGACTACGCTTTAACATAAAACGTGAATGCCAGACACTGACCTATACTTTGGCTTTGCTAAAGATACAGTTGGATTTTTTCCATGGGGGGACAAATGGAGATTGGACATTGGAAACTCAGGAGCAGTTGTCCACCAGAATAAACCTTACCATACCACAGTCTTCATGTATGAGTTTGTGAAATGCTTTTCTCGCGATCCTGTGAAAAATTCCTTTTTCTACTGGCAACACTGAGAATTAAAAAAATGTAATGTGGATTCTTTTTTAACTTTTCTGCACACATAATTACCTTATCTCTGGAAAATCACAGTTTGAATTTCCCTTTCCAAACTTACACATTTTATTTCTTTTCTTTGACTTTCTCCATTGGCCACCTTGGAGATATTGGGCACAGAAATTGTTCTGGATCTCAAATGAACAGCTTCTAATGATTAACACTGTGTATATTTGTTAGCAGTTTTTGGTTGATAACTTTTTTAGTTAAAGTTATTTTAATTCCCAGTTTACTAAGAGTTTTCTTTTTTAAAAAATGTTGTTTCTACATCTATTAAGATAAGCATGATATTTATCTTTCAGTATATTAATGCTATGTATGATACTATCAAAAGATCTTAAGTGTTCTCTTAAGTTATGGTTTCTAATGAAAGCACAGACAACTACAGCAAATGGACAACTTGAAAAAATTTATTTACAATGACCAGCTACTTTATATCTGGATCAAAATGAGATTATAGCTTTTTGTTTCAGGATAAACTCTTCTGATTAGGTGATTAATAGTCATTATCAAGTGGCATGGTATATTTGACAGTCATCTCAACAAAACCTTTACATTCAGGTGAAACAAGTCCATTCGGAGACATCAGAAAACAATTGAATAATATGTAATTTTCTAATGTGGTACTTTCAATTTATTCTGTATTATAGCATAAAGTTGCTACTTCACAAAACTCTGGAATTGCCATTACAAAATAAAAAATGAGGGTATATGTTTTCTGCTTTTGACTCAACTAATTCAATGAAACATGTTCTTAGTATACCTAATAAGTGTTTGTTGGAAAATTAGAAAAGCATGGTTGATTTTACCCATGCTTAATGTCTCTTAATGTTGAAATCATCTTCTAAATAAAAGTGTTGGCTCATTTCCAACATAATTTTATGTAATTCACAGCCAAAGGTGTATCAGATGATTTATTGTACCTTACTGTGTACAGCCATTGGAGAGCTGGGCAAGGACAAGACCTATCAGACTGCTGGAGAAGGTCATCGAGAGACTGTGACAAATGACTGTCCTGCAAGCCAGACCAAGACAATCAAAGGCTCCTCACCTCTTCCTCTGTCCTTGGAATGTATGTTCTGACCATTGTTCCCACAGAAAGGGAGCCATTTTCAAGAAGGCAGCTTTAAGAGAGTAAGATGTTGAAACCAGCTGGACTGAATATGTGACTGAACTTCAGGCCGCTATGTAAACTTTTAAGATCCTGGTGGTCAGGTGCTCAGATCTACTCATTTTATGCCCACCAAAATCAAGGCTTGTAAGTTTGTTCCCTTGCTTATTAAGCCTGCTGCCTACCAATCTGGGGTGGTCTGTCTCTTTCTTTGGTCTGCCTTACACTCTTGAGTATGAAGGCCAGGTTCAGCTTTCACCGGAAAAATCCCCAAGTTTCCAAACTAATATATACATCAGGCCTTACTGTCACCCAGATTCTATTCCTTTAAGAACTTTGGTAACAATCAGCCATAAATTTATGAAAATAATTATCACTAGGTCACAGAGGAGACAACATAGCCATGGATTCAATAAATTTTGTAATAATCTTTATTGTACAATACACTAAAGTGGTATAAGTCAACCATGTTACAAACCATAAACTACATATTTCACAAATGACAGCTGCTCCAGGATTCAACAATACATTTTTAAGCACAGTGTAATTTGTAAAAATATGATGACCTAGTTATACAGGCTATCTTGTGTAACCAAATATGTTTTGAAATAAATTAGATTTCTCTTTAATTATTTAGTTAGGTCAGACCAATGAATTGGAAGTGCATTAAAATGAATGAAATGCTGCTATATACAACATGGATGAATCTTACAAATGTGCTAAAAAACCTTACACAGGAGTTATTGCTTTTTGGATTTATCAATATGGATTTCAAAAATAGGAAAAAAATAGTGGAAAATATTATAATATTAGTTAATTTGGTATGTAAAAAGGATTAACTGGGAAGGGGAATGAGGGTAGTTTTGGAGAAGTGATAAGAATGTTCTATACATTTAAAAAGTTCTCTATTTATGTAAATTTAATACAAAAGACTATAAAATATATTGAACTATAGTTTATTTGCACGCTGAATTACTTAGGCAAAAATGTATGGATGCCTGCAATTTACTTTGAAATGCATTGAACAGTAAGATGGATTGATGGATGGACAGGAGAAGCTTGGATAGGCAGACACATAATACAGCAGGTACAGTAAGCTCTTAATGGTGGCACTAGGTGGTGAATGCTTGTGAGAGCACTGAATGTTCTTTAGATTTTTCTTAGGTTTAAATTTTTTAATAATAAACCTAACAGACTATTATCACTTCCTACTCTCATACCTCTTCCAGTTCATACCAGGGTTACTTTACTATCTCCTAACCAGTCTCCTGCCCCTCTCCCCACACCCACTGCAGTGTATTCTCAGCACAGCCAACCAGAGCAATAAAGAAAACTAATTACTCCTTGAAACAGTCTGAGACCATTCCCATTACACTCAGAGTGAAATTCTAGATCCTCTGGTTTACTATGTCCCATAAGATGTGGCTACCATGTGGCCCACTTGTTACCATTCTGACCACTCCACTCACTAAACTCCTCCTTCAGGAATATCTCTCTGGTCATATTCACCTTCTTGCTTTTTCTTAAATTATCTGGCATGCTTCTATCTCATGATAGTTGCTCTTGTTCCGTACTGTCTGAAGTACTTGTCCTTCAGAAATCCATTTGGCTCTCACTCCTTAATCTTTCAGTGAAAGCTTTCCTGTCTACTCAATCTAAATTGTCAATGCTCTTAATCCAATATTTCTCATTTCCATTTTTAAATCTTTTCTCCAAAGCTTTTTAAAAATATATTACCATTCTCTGTAATTTACTTACTTATTTTGCTCATTGTCTAAGCTTTGGGAATAGAAGTTTCATGAGAGCAGGGATTTTTGTCTGTTTACCTGTTACTTCATTCTTAGCACCTGGAACTGTGCATAGCACATACTGGGTGAAAAGGTAAGGCCAGTTTCCCAACCAGCCCAATTGCTTATGATTCAGGCAGGCCAGTTTTCCAATCCTCTGGGACTGCCCATGACTCAGTTATCCCAACTCACTTGATAGCCTGAAGCTGAATAAAAACTTTCTCTCACCTCACGCAATAGACGTCTGATGCCTAACCATAATGGCCTGTGGTCAGACTGACCCCCCCACCTGGAAACAGCCCAGCCCTTTACTTAACCCATTGGCCCAACTCACATCCTGAAACTCTGAGGCAGCTACCCAGAAGAACAAGAGACTAACCCCTCCTCTATTCCCCCATAATCCTTGTGTTTTGTCTTTTAAAACCCTATTCTTGCCTTCCCTTGGGGCTGCAGTTGGTCTAGATGTCAACTGCCTGTAAGTGCAACATCAAATAAAGGCACTTGGATCAGATCATCCAACTCTTCCTACTTTATCTCTAATGCATTTCTAATATTTTGTTGCTGAAGCCCAGGAGGGCTGTGATTGGAGAAGCCCTCTGGCCTGACCTTTGCATCTACACTGGTGAAATCAACTAGAGTAAGGAATATATACCTCTCCCTTGTCTCGTCACTCTTTTTTGTTTGTTTGTTTGTTTGGCTGTTGTCCTGGACAAAGTCTCAAAGCTCCCAGTGCTGGGTGATAGTCACAGCCTGCTGGGTCCTGGATGTTTGGGAGTGAAAGACTTGTGGAACAGGATGCCTCCCTTTTCTCCTCCCTTTTCCTGTCATGACCCTAAAACACTTCAGGGTGGGATGCCTCTTCATTTGTCCCAGGGTAGGGACAAATGAGCTCACTCCTTTCCCCCTCTTAATCTTATGCTTCACAGTGGGCAGGGGTCAATCACTACCCTCCTGAAGCACCCCTGTGTTGCAACATTTCAATACCAGACAGGTTCACTTGTGATTCAGGCAGATGGAAGAAAATTCATGGAGCCATGAGAATGACTGACATGCCTTTATTTAAGTGTTGTGATCCACAAGCTCCATAAGCCGCAGGTCCACAGGCAGGGCATGCCAACTCCCTTATATACTAAATGCACACAAAGTCAGCAGGATGCCAAGATATTATATGATAAATCATGATTCTGTACATGTGGGCCCATTCTAAAGGTTATGGGAATACTGTGTATCTTAGTTGCCCAGACATCTGGGCGAGGAAGTCCAACTGATTTCATTTTCCCTACAACCGCCTTGGGGTGTCTGCTCAGAAGTCTAAAAGACCTGGACTTAGAAATGAACTTTAAACCTAAGAGATTTATTTTCTTCTCTAATACTGCCTGGCTACAATGTAATCTGGATAATGGGTCCATCTGGCCAGAAAACTCAACCTTCAAATCCTCACAGACCTTTATAATTTCTGTCAATGTCTTGACAAGTTGAGTGAGGTCCCATAAGTCCAGGTCTCCTTTAAGCTGCGCACTTGCTCCACCTTATGCCAGACCTGTTCCACCTACCAGATCCTTCTCCTTCATTCTCCCCTTCCCCAGCAGCATCTGCCTATTCCCATTGCTGTGGCAGAAACATCTTTTGATCCCTCAAAGGGTTTCCCCCTCTTATGCATCCCCTTCTTCTCCATCTGGGCAGCCCAGGGCTGGGACCACAGACTATGAAACCCCTACCTCTCCTGACTCCACCTCAGATCCTCCACCTCCCTCCCCTCACAAGACCAGGTCCAATGGGCCTTGAGATGCCCAGGGCCAATTGGACTTCCAGTGGACTAGAGTTTGCACAGCAGGCATAGCCCTGGAGGGAATTAGGGGTTTGGGCATTGTTTGGCCCAATGCCCAGGTTTCTCACACTTAAAACAGGTCCCCAGAAGGTTTTATCCCTTTTGTCTGGAGAAATCTTGGTTATCTTTTTAATGCTGAGGCAAGTAGCTGGTAGGCCTGGTTATGGGACTTGGCCTTAGTTTCCTCCCTTTCTCTTTCTTACTGGGCCTTCTCCTAGTGTCTGTTGTTGAAAACTCTAAAGTCTAGATTAACTAGCTCATTCCAGCTAGTTTGAGGGCCTGCTTCTAGTTTTTGGAGCTTTCAGCATATGTCTGGAGCCAATTGGGAGATAAAATGCATGTAGAGGAGTAGGGTGCCCTCTGGGGTATCTGGGTTCAGACTAGTGAATCTTTGGAGGGCTTACCAGAGTCTAGCAAGAAAGGCAGTGGGATTTTGTTTGCCCCCTGGGAGATTTCTTTAAGTCTATCATAGTTCAATGTCTGTGTGCAGCATCCTGAAGTTCTACCACAAGGCAAGTTATCATCTGATTGTAGGACTGCCAACCTGGTTTCCCACCTTGACAGTCCCAGTTATGGTCTTCACTGGGAAAAGTGGTAGCTCCTACAGGGCCATTGGTAAGGTGTTGTCTTTTTAGGGTATAGGTGTGAACCTGGCTACCAGCCAAACATATTCCATCTCCTCAGGGGAAAGACAGGTGGAGAGTATGACATAAAGGTCTTGCCAAGTGAGATTGTAGGAGATACTCAGATAATGAAATTCTTTGAGAATATGGGTGGGGTCAGGGGAAAAGGATCCTTTTTTACTCCCAGACGTTCTGAAGTCTTCTTCTTCTGGAGTCTTCTTCTGAAGACTAATGGTGCCTGGAAACTGCACATGGCCCCTCCATAATCAACAGGACAGAACCTGTGGTAACTCTGTCAGTAGCAGGTAAGCTGATCTTTTTTCTCATTAACATGGGGGTCACTTACTCTGCTCTCCCTGAATACTCCAAGCCAACAATTAATTTCTCAGTCTCAGTAGTAGGGGTTGATAGCATAGTCTCATAGCCATTAGTCACCCCTTTCCTACCCTGTTCACTAGAGGACCACTCATTTATTCACTCATTCCTGGTCCTCTCTTGCTTCTGTACACCAATTCTTGGAAGAGACATTCTTACCAGGCTTAAGGCCCAAATACTTATTCTTTCTCCTAAAAACTCTCAGGGTATTTTCCTTTTCTCTCTAACAGATGCATCCCTAGCCTACTCTTTCTCTTTTCCTCCCACACCACTTTGTTAATCCAGAGGCATGGAACACTGACACCCCAGTCATTGTCAGCCACTTTGAATCAGTCACTATACATGTCAAGGATCCCACCCAACACCCGACCAAACCCCAATACCCAATACCCAATAACCCTCAAAGAACTGTGAGGAATTAAACCTACAATTACTCACCTACTGTATGCAGGACTTCTATGACCAACTAATTCCCTGTGTAACACCCCAATTTTACCAGTAGAAAAACCTAATGGAACCTATTGCTCAGTCCAAGACCTACAAATCATTAACCAGGTTGTAATTCCTATACATCCAATAGTCCTGAACCCCTATACTATTCTCTCCCTCATACCACCCTTTACCACCAACTACTCTGTCCTAGACCTTAAGGATGCTTTCTTTACCATCTGCTTACACATTTGATTCCCCAAACCTATTTGCCTTCACCTGGATGGACCCAGACACACAATTCCCAACAATTAACCTGTACTGTCCTTCCCCAAGGGTTCTGTGACAGCCTCCACCTGTTTGGACAGGCACTGACCCATGACCTGTGCAATACTGATCTCTCCCCCTCTACTCTCCTACAGTATGTGTATGGCCTCCTACTGTGCAGCCCATCCTCCCCAGACTCCCAACAAATCACCGCTAAACTTCTAAATTATCTAGGACAACTAGGATATCGAGTCTCAGCCCAAAAGTTTCAAACATCATAAACATCAGTCACTTACCCAGGTTTCACCTTAACACACACTGAGAAGAGAATAATACCAGATGAACATTAATAACCTCAATACCAATCTCTACTACTAAACAATACCTCCTCTCCTTTCTGAGCTTCGCTGGATACTTTATAAACTGGATTCTAAGTTTTGTCATTCTAGCCAAGCCACTATATGAAGCACTAA